CCACCCCCCCCACCCCATGAAAAATTCTGCCTATCCTCCAAAGAAACTTCTTAGAAGGGGCTGCGCTGTTTACTGAAAACAGTTCGGTACCACAGTTTAATAACAAAATTTTGTTGTATCATGGTTTCCTTATCATTTCAGAATGCGACAGATAACTTTTTCAGCTCAGATCCGTTTAAACCATCTGGGAGTGGTTCAGATGCTAAGAAAAGCTCGAATAACCCACAGGAGAAAGATTCTCTCTCCTCTGTCAAAGATCCTTTCAGCAATCCCTTTGGCCCTGATCCATTTGGTGAGTTTATTAATTACTTCCTCTAAATGATTAATTACTTCTTTTGAATGATGTACTTATGAATGTTTTGTTGCTAGACTTTGATCATTTGTTTAGTTCTCATTACCCCCTGTTTGACTTAAGGAGAAAATAAAGTCGTGCTCTGATTGTTTTTTTCGGTTGAAGTGATGTGCCTTTCATTGTGTTCATTTTTTTCCAGGTTCATGATGAAACTCGACCTTTCCCCAGTTGAACATACCGCATTGTCTGAATGTCTATAAAAGTATCGGCGAGAACAAGATTATGGCTCTTGTAGTCTCCCGCTTCAAAAACTTTGTTCAAAGTTAACGAAAACTAAGTAACAACTATATTGAAAGTTGATGGGAAAAATAGCGTTTTCGGTCAAAATTTTATTTTGGAGAAGAGGCTGAGCCCGCGATCAGCTGAGCAAGTTTTGTTGATTGGCTTTGCGATCAATTTAGATATCTAGTACACTACTAGCGTAACGGCGTTCGACGTGTTCATGAGCCTTCACTGATAAGAGAAAGAGAAGCCGGCGTGTGGAATAGTAATGTTTTCGAGAGGGGTTTATCTTTGCAAATTTAAGTGTTTGTTTGTGCGGTCTTTTCTATTAGTTCCGTCACGGTTGCTGTGGCAACGCTACTGACCGAAAACAGTGATGGCGGGCTCAGTAAATACTATTGGCAAGAAAAGAAAATAGGATATTAAGCTAGTAAAGGGCGCTCGCTATCCTTCTATATAAACTTGTGTGGACTGTCGGGAAACCAATATTTGAGTCTTTTACAACTGCCTGTCGGAACAAAGGTAATTCATCTACGGAGTGAGCGAGAATACAAAGTAGAAATGGCACACTAGTTGAAGCACCGGAAAGAAAGCAAATGAACAAGTCACGATTGGTTTGGATTGCTTCATTTCCTGAGAGGATGACACAAGTTACTCAGACCAGTCACAGAACCAAGTAATTGCGAGGCGTGAACCATAACCATTGAGATTCGGCGTTACTTATCGACAATCGAAAATTGCTCCGGATTGGCCGACCCTGCTTACCTTTTTGTTAAGGAAAAGAGTTTGTCGTGAGTTCCTTTTGTGAACGAAGTATGTTTTTTTTTTTTATCGCATTTTATGATTTACCCATCTACTCCCGGAAGTGATTAAAATGTAACTTCTTCCTGTAAGATCCATACATTATCCAGCAAACAGGTAATGAGAAGACTGGAACTTATCAGGTAGAAGTTTTTCTTTTAATCTAACACCCGATTCTCATAACTAATTTACGAGGAAATGTAAAACAGCTCGAGGGAAGAATTAGTGACTAGATCTTGAACGTTTAAGGGTTGGCCCGAGAACAACCTGTTGACAAATTTTAATTTTAATTGTATATGTCAGGAATCTAGAGTATTTATCAACTGCATTTTTTTATGTTTACGCCGCAGCTTTATAACACGTGAGTAAAACTTGAATTATGGTCACACACGAGTCCATCTTGTTTGAAATTAAAAGCGTGACGTGAAAGTAACGCATTGGATCCTTTTGCAACTTAATGTAACGTAAAGCAATCTTCAAATAATCAAATAATAAGCGCAAATAAAGGAACGTGTGACGGGCTTTCAATAAAGTGTATTCCGGTCTGACAGCTTTTGCTTTAGTTGTGTAGCGTAAAAGCATTCCAAGTTTTAAAAAGTTTCCGGGCTCCATTCAGTAACTAACAGGACGCTGAATCAGGAAGACATCGTGGCTGTATTTCGAAAACGTGTTCATGATTAAAGTCAAACAAGAATCGTGCGTTCGGCTTCAGTTAGTGCCTGAAATCAAATTCATGTGATCAAAGTTTAAAAACGTTTCCGCTCTTTGATCTCTAAAATGTTGAATCAGTAAAAGTTTATGACTTCATCCTTGTCGTACACATCCCCCTCTACTAACTATGTACACATCAACACTAGAGGCTACGTGAGTAACGTTAATTCCCCTGTCCAGATTTGGTAATCCAAGCCATTGATGAAATTATCTTGTGAACCCTTTTGCTGTTTTTTAAGTTCTTAACTTGAAGCTTGTTCTCCGCGGATCCTTCGTCCCTGCTGAATAGCAATCGGAATGTTAACGTTTCGTCTTCCTCCTTGAAGCGGTGACTGAAAACGTCTTATTTCACTCAGTAACTTGTTGTCAGGTCCGTTTGGAATTCCGTTAAATTCAGTTCCATTTTTCTGCTCCAAAACAGTCTCTACTGAACGAACCATACTTTCACTGTGTTTTTTCAAACGGCGAGCGAAGTACACAGAAGACAGTTGTAGTCAGAGCCATGTTATTATACATTTTGGGAGTTACGTTCCCTCACTTTATATGATATATGTTATCACATGTACCACAACATACCGCTCGATGATTTACAGGAATGTTTCTTTCACATTCAGGACATTTCGCTCGGTTATCACCGGGGTTTCTCTCAATATTACCAGCTATCAGCAGGAGTACGCCATGGACAGCCATAGAATTATTATAACAAGCAAGTTTTCTTGGAAGAAACTTTCTTTGCCAAACACGCTCGGCGATAGCTGCGTCTGTTCTCGTGATAATTCTAAAATGGCCGTCATGTTGTCGATGACAAATATTGAGAGAACGGTTCTCAAACTCTTCTGAAGGGGAAATCGCACCAAATACGTTTCCATAATTATCAGGAGTCAATATATCAGCATTTACACAGTTGTAGGCGGTAGTTGTCGTGAATTTCAATAGAGTTAGAAACAAAATCCAGAGAGCGGCTTTCATGATCCACACCCACTTTTGTACCCGACTCACTCGGAGAGACCGAAGTGATGTGATGTGATGTGATATTAATCCAGAAGAATAGTTTCGTGGGTCCCTTATTACCAGTCAGATGTGGCGGTAAGCTAATTGAATTTTCCAGAAAGACAAAGCTCTTAGGAGTTTTGATAGACAATAAATTACTCTGGAAGGATCACGTCGACAAGTTACTAAAGTCATTTGGTAACCAGATACGTTTTCTAAGGAAAATGAGCTACCTCCCGAAGTCACTTTTGGAAGAAATTTATTTCAAAACAGTAGTCTCTCTAGTCACTTATTGTATAGGTGTCTGGGACAGCTGCTCCATTAGTATGTTTAATGAATTGGAAAGCTTACACATCAAAGCTGGACGCATCATTCACCACATACCGCCGAAAAAATTTCAGGATAGTGACGTTCTTGATTTTATCAAATGGGAAGACCTAGGATATCTATATAAAAGAAGACTAACAATTGAGATTTTCAAGATAAACAGTGGTATGAATCACAGATTATCACCCTTCGTCAATTTTACCGAATCAAGGCATAAAGGCCCACTCCTTGAAATTAGAAGAACAAAAACAGATATCGGGAGGAACAGTCTATATTTTAGGGGCCCGATAATTTGGAACTCAATTAACAGAACTTCTAGATGCATAGAAAAAGTGAGGAATTAAAAATAGCACTGAAACGTAACAAAAACCAGTTGCGGAAGTTACCTTCATTCGCGGAACTGTTACAAATTCAAACAAGGACTTACACAACCTTATATATTATTAGTTTGAAATAGTTAATAGCATATGGTAGAATTTTAACTGTATATAGTAGAATTTTAACTGTGTACAGTATTCTTTTGTATATGTATTTTAATTAATAGCAGGTCCACATCAGCTATTTAGCTCAGTGCCACCACTGACCTGCTCGAACAAATAAAGCTTACTTACTTACTTACTTACTTACGCCGTGAGTGAAGGAACCAAAGCTGTGACCAAGTACACCAGCAGCAAGTAAACTCACTTTGTGGATTTCCCGCCAAAACAAACGGCTCCTTTAGGAGCCACCACTTCTTACAAAAGTCATTGACCAAAGAAGTTTTTAACTTACTCCTTTTAATTATTTGTTTATTTTGTTCCTCACTTGATAGCTTTTTCTTCCCTCTGCATAAAGCTGTAAAATCCTTCACGAAAGAAAGAGCTGAAAATGGTGTGATAAATTTTAGAAAATTGCAAATATCCACTGCTTTGCAATGGGTATGACAAAGCTATACAAAAGGATTATCTACGGAGCAAAGATCGTATCCATGCTCTTATGAAGTTAACCACCAGAGTCAACAACGTAATCAAGAACAAAGCCATGTGAAAACAAGTAAGACCTCCCCGGTCAACCAATCACATTCGCGAAATGTTATCATTGCATAACAAATTGCAAACGCAAATCGGCCATTTTTGTTTTGGTTTGTGTTGCCGACTTTTCGTACATAAACTTTCAGAACATCAAGTGATCTTCCTCGCTACTATGGGGGTTATTAATGTTATCGAGCATTTCCGAAATCGTCGTAACCAAGGAATGATTGAAAATTATGGAGTAGATCAGTGAGTAACATAACATTACATAACTTGATTTATTTACTTCCCGCGGTTTTGAGGTGAAAACCGGCATAATTTCTCTTCCTTCGCCATTAATCAGCCGAATTTCCTTTCGTCCAGTCGTTCCAGTTAGCTTTCAAGTGTGAACGTTAATAAGGATCGTTAACAAGGAACCGTTTTGAATGATGAAATGCCTGGATCGCTTCGTGCGATCGTCGGTTGATAACAGGTGATCGAAATGGCGTTGTTTGTTTTTGTTCCGTCGCAATGACTTCGTTTTCGGTGGACCACTTCTCGTCTTCGCTGTATCTTGCTGGCCAACAAAGCGTTATCTCAACTGTTGGTCAAAATACACTCAGCTGATGTATGTATATATTATTTACAGTGCTTTCAATATAAGACCCGGCACTCGCCGGAGCTCCGTTGGGTATTCTGTTGTGAGTCGCCGGGCACATTTCACACTGCTAAAGTCGCGGTCACCACACTCAAGTCGCTCTTCGGCGGGTGCTGTACCGAGGTAGCCACCTATTTCAAATTTTATTGAAAGCACTGTATTTAGAACCTAAGCGATTTGCTCTTTCAGAGCTTTGGAGGAAGAGTACTTTGAACCCACTAACCCAGAGACCCCCCAACAAGAATCAAATCAAAGGCGACATACACGTAATCGATCGCAGAAGAAAAAAATTCAATATAATTCAAGGAACACTGGACGCAGATTGAAAACTGGGAGCCGACCCAAGAGGAGATATGAGAATTGTGAGTGAAGAGTTGGGCAAGAAGGAGTACCCGAATAGCTGAATAATTTTACAATATCTGTTTCTTAAAACTCACTCTATTTGTTTCAAAAATAGCATTTTTCGCTGTGAAATATTTGAAATGGTGCTAACGATGTAAACTTCCGACATCTCAACTCCATTTTATTTTAATTTTGATTTTAATTTATTTAAAATGTGCACTCATTCTGCTCAGTCAATATATTGGGTAGGAGGGGGTTCAAATCATGGGACACTGGATGAGTGAGTCGCACCAAAAGCGAGTCAATTTATGTCACTCTTCATTCGAGGATACTTTTTTCTGCTTCAAAGTTCAACCTCGGCTTCACTTTCTGAGATTAGTTTTAAAATGACTGCAATGGCACATTTTAACCCTTGGTTTTTTCTCCTTTATCTTAAATTCAGTGTGCTTTCTGCTGAGTTTGAGCGACCATGAAGAAATTGGAGAACTTGATATCTCTGATTTAGTCAGCAACAACACATCTGTGTTTGCAAAACTTTTGAGTAATGAGGAAAGCATGAAGGTACTGCTCTTAATTGTTTATTGCTCAGTACTGGTGGAAAATTTGTAGTAAGGTTTTAGGTAAACAACAATTCCTTACTGATTAACGAAATTGTCAAAGTGAAATTACAAATTATAGCCATATCACATTACACAAATAATTATTACGGCTAAACTGACCAATCAGGTTAAACAATCCAGACTTCATACATTCAACTGACAACAACCTTTAACTTGACTCTCATGATGACTTGCACCTAGGTTGACTATGCATAACTGGACAATCAGATTACACCATCACTTAAAGCTTTATCAGTCAGTAACAAAAGTTTCCATTGTAAAACAGGTTTGGAGCGAGTTTGTAAACCTTTCTGATGAAGAACAGGAAGCTGTTATGGGACAGAAGAGGAAAACAGCTGCACCTGCTCAAAACATTGATAGGGGAAACACAGCTGAAGATGAGCATATTCCCACAGAGCGAGGTATTGCATTTCTCTAGTAGTAAACATGCATAGTGTTCTTTGTGCAAGTTTCTCCCTAACTTTGTTTTTGTTACTCAGATGCAGTAGCAATTGCAGAAAAGGCTTTCAACAAAATCGGAGGACACATTAGAGGAGTTCTTACGAAAAAACATTTTCCAATGGTACTACAGCTTTTTCAATTAATATAGCTTTGAGAATTGTTTTGTGTGCAAATTTCCCTTTAGATCACAATTAAGAGAAGAAATGAAAAGAAAAAAAGGAAAGAATATAATAATAATAATAACTTTATTATACAAAAAATTAAAAAAGTTGACACTTATTTACATTGAAGCTGTGTAAGAAAGAAGAAATGAGAGAGCCCAAAAAAATATATATCATGCGACCTTAATCTTCTAAGTACCTCCACCCTCTTCTCATTGATACAAATTATCTAGTGTTATTCCATACTTTTATTATTTTTTTTTTTCTTATCAGGGTGGCTTAAAACACCATGAACAGGAAGTGATTGCATACTTTTCTGATGATCCCACTGCAGTCATGATCTCCTCCGTCCCGTCAAGGTGTGGAATTACAAATAATTGTTACTGTCTGCATTTATTCTATTTTTAGTGGTAAATATATGAAAAAGATGTCGAATGAAAATTATATGAAAAATATGAGAAAAATTGTGTAAATTCATTACGCTTTTAACCAACAAATGAAGAGGGAGGTTTAAGAAGGAAGGTTAACATTAGAATTTTAGTGACAGTAATTAATAACATATTAAAAATGAAGTAAAATCACTCTGTTTTTTCTTTAGTTTTGATAGGTTGTTGGTGCATGGGGTATGTCAGTTCCTAGGTTTGAAATCAATGAGTAAGTATTTAAGCAGTGAAGTGCAGTGTCAAACCTCAATTTAATGAAGTGCCTAGGAACTGGGGAAATTTGTTTGTTATATCGAGGTTCTGTGGCATACATTTTACTGTAACTTTGGCCAGGCTGAAAGTGAAGTATTGTTCATTAAACCAAGGACTTTATTATATAGAGGTTTGTTAAATTGAGGTTCTACTTTAGTCATTACTCTCTTTTATTTTATGGAGCATTCACTAGGCATCAACATTGACCATAATCATGATAAAGCAATCCTCTAAGTATTCGTTACCACTGCAATAATAAAAAACCTTGGCTATTAATTTGTGGTGCAAGTTGCAAATTTGGCAATCTTTGTCTGGTGGTCATGTAACAATTTATACTTTAATGTAACAAATTGTAACTTTCTACCTTCCATCTTTTTATGTTGGTTAAAGTTGACTGTATGGAACCTTTGGATGTTGCGTGAACCAACAGTAATGAATTCCAGCTAAACTTTTTATTTCTAAGGACCATTTTATGATTTGAGCTTACAAAATGGGAACTGAAGAGCTAAAGAAAATGAAGGTGATAACAGTGTTCAGTAATGGTCAAAACAATAGTTTCACCATGTCTTTTGTGGACTCATCTGGACATCTCAGAAAATGAATTCTGTCAAAGGCAGCCACACAATTAGCAAAGGTATTTGAAAAGAGTTGATCAGGGGCTGGTCCAGCAACACACTGGGGAACCTGTTTGTAGACTAGTAACCAAAGAAGAGAAAACTAGATACATTTCAAAGGACTATAGCAAACTACTCTGGCTTTTACTAATAATTTCTAATTTCTTTACTCCAAGGTACCAGTCGCAATGGAGACCGCATCATGGAGATTGAAAATAAACAAGAAACGTTTTGTATTCCATCTCTCCTTCTCTCCCAATATTTGGAAAAGCGTAGATAGCATTGAAGGGTAGACTAGTTGTATATACCAGTGGATTCTCAGACAAAATCAATTATTAATACAGTGGTGTTTGTAGAAATTTGTGTTAGATAGGGTTCAAAGAAATATTTTCCTCTTGTGGTCAGTGTCTCAAACAAATAGGACTGTTATTGTCCAACAAATTTAATTTATCTTGGTCAACACATATATATGCAGGAAAATAATCCTTTAAGAATTTTTTGCTTTTCCAAACTGTATCATGGTTCCAATGTGGGAAGTGAGATCTTTGAGTGGGAAGTGAGAATTTGATGATGGGAGAAAACTAGATCGAAAAACTTTTAATCAAGTAATTTGATCACAGTGGTGTGTACTGTATAATAAAAACATATCCATTACAAATTAACCAGATGTTTCATGGACTATCTGTCACACTAAATAAGACCCATCTCCCATAAGATGTCACTTTGACTATCTGTCTCTTAGCAAACCCCCCACTCCCCTCTATAAAGAGGTTCCCTTGTTATGAAAAACACTTCCATAAACACCTGACAGTTTGAGTGTTTGGAGTCAAATTATGTTTTTGGTTGTATTTCCTTCTCATAAGGGGCTCCGAAGTAACCACGCCTTTACCTGTGTCAAACCGGCCTAATATACATTAAAAACACCCTGTAATATCTGTATCAATAGCTGGTGACTGCTCAGTTCTAGATTTGTAGTGAAACTACATAGTTAACTTTCAGTTTTGAAAAGTGTGGGATGCTTCCTTGAAGTTGCCCCCATTGTGCTTTTTGGTGAAAACCCATGGTTTTCTGTGTAGTATTCCCTCTGCTGGAGCCTTAAGGACAAAAGCAAAGCCCCTTCCCGTACCGAACACAAACATGACAAAAATGTATCAATACTGGACAGGTAGCCATGGGCTTTGAAGCATCAAGCTAAGGAGTCTCACAACTCATATTCAATACACTGCCGCTAAAGGCTTCACAGTGCATGTCAAACCATTTTCTTTTCAGGCTTTTGCTTCAGGCTAAACCTTTTAGAAGACTCACCGCTAACAGTTCTGAATTTGCAAAAGATGAATGATGAATAAATGATGTAGCTTGCTAACCAATTGTTTACATACAATCCACACTTAAAAAGAATCAGAATTATTTTATTTCTTAACATTATTAATACCAAAATTTGAAGTTAAAGCTATCACCCTGACTCAAAGCAATATTAACAGTAATTGTGTACTTCAAAATCAGATGCTACTCTTTCCAAAACAAAAATAGCTTTACGGCTTTCACAGGGTAAAGTACAGCTGGCAATTCTAGCACAGGTTTACTAATGAAAATACCTAGCATTGTGAAACTGTACACAGAAATGAAAATTTGATGTAGAACTAGATTGCTAATACCACTAAAAACCTTGTATCATCATGAGCACTTGCTTGTAGGCTTTTAACATAGGATAACACGTATTAGGAAAGAGTACTGGCTATTTTACCAGCAATATAAAAGGTACATAAGATATCCTTGGTAGTGAATCGAAAAATTTGGTAAAGAATGTCCTTGTTATCAAAAAGTGTCCAATTTGGTAGATTTTCCTTGTACAAAGAGGTAAATTCAATAATAATTCTTACTATAATATTTCTTGAAGCCTAACTAAAACACACCATTCAGACCCCACCCCCTCTACAATCCTCCCACTTAGATATTTAAACACCAGTATTTCACAAAAGCCTACATTTTGGGGTTACAAGGATTAATGAATTTAACATTTGCACTCTATCTGAGGGGTACAGGTCCACAGAGTGCTCCTAACTTTCCAGTGGGTATCAATGCACTCCACTTTACACTTTATTCCTTGGAGTACATTAATATCTTCAGAATCTTATTCAAGATGCTCTACATGACTTCTCCTGAATGTAGAGGTTTACAAGCACATTCCTTTTCATGAATGTTCACAATTCACAAGGTTTGACTTGTATTCTGTAAAACTTTGTTCCCACAGGAACCCGAAACCTGTTGTGAGGCTAAAAATTAGGAAGGAATGGAAAATTTTGGTTAAGTACAATGTTGCCAATAAAATGAACACTTTACTCCATAACATAAGTATGTCTATTCTTTACAATAGTCTAAATGGATAGAGCGCTGGACTGTTGTGCGGGAGGTCAAGGGTTT